CAACAGGAAGGCCACTGTAAAGGCGAGCGCTTTCCACGTTTTCAATCGCTTTCACATAAAACTTCAGAGCAGACGATAAATACCGACAGCATCGTGGAATTATATTAGAACCAAACTAATCTCTTGTAAGGTGACATATCGCGAAAAATCTTTTGCAATTTAAGTCTTTTCTTTTCGAAACAACTTTTTCCCTTTAGTTGATGAAATATAATCATCCCTTGTTAGTACCATTATAGTTTCTATTTGAAAAGAATCATCCCTAAGAGACGCTCGTGATCCCAAACTACTAGCAGAATCAATAATTTCTCTAATATCTCTTGCTTTATCTTTTGAAAAATTAGTATCTTCTTTTTTAAGCCGGCAAAGGCAAATCTTGCCATTTGGGTCATTTTCTTTCAGTTCTAAAGCTTTGTAAACAAGCAAGAAATCGCTATAGTCCACGCTAGTGGTAGCCATTATACAAATAAATTTTTAAAGGAAAAGAAATTTTAAACAGGCTTCGAAATTTCAATTCGGAACTACTTTCACAATTGCTACAAATACGTTTAAGTACGTTTGCTGCTCCAAATATATTTTCTAACACACAAACCTCATCGTCAGTCAGAAAATCTGACAGATAATAAAATCGATCTGTGCTAAGCAATCTCAAAAGTTCGAGAAATACACTCTGGTGAACGCGGAATTTAGATGAAAGCCTTAAAAGTTCTTTCATTATCATAGCAAAAGGAAGGATATTTAAAAGATAGCGACCTTTTTTGTAGATTGCAATCGCTTTAATATAAAACTTCAGAGCAGACGATAAATACCGACTGAATTGGTTTTTTTCGTGGAATTCAATCAGAAGGTGGCCACACCACATTAATATCTTGTAAGGTGACTTAACACCACGAAAAAGTTTTTTCAAAATTTTAGTTGATGAAAAGTCGTCATCACATGTTGGTACCATTATGGTTTCTATTCGAAAAGAATCACTGGAAAATAATCTCAACCCACCAATATTTTCTTCAATATATCTCTCCTCATCTTTAGATAAAACAGTATCCTCTTTTTTAAGCCCGCAACGGCAAATCATTCCATTTAGGGCATTTTTTTTCAGATGGAACGCTTTGAAAACAAGCGAGAAATCGCGATAGTCCACGCTTGTGGTAGCCATTGTATAAATAAATTTCCAAAGGAAAATAGGTTTTAAACAAACTTCGAAATTTCAATTTGGAACTACTTTTACAATTGCTACAAATTGTTACTTTTTGAAAGAATCCACCAGGTGACTGGATACCCGTATTTCAAGTTTTAAGAAACCCGTTTATTATTATTTGAACTACATGAATGGAAATATGATTTAGTTTGACATTGTCAGTATGTTCGATTCGAGGAAGAAATCTGTTGCCTTCAAGATATAAAATGGGTGCCTGCTACAAATATTCGTTTTTTTCCGCTTTGAAATATGAAATTCTGATAAATGATGGAGCTTTTTTGGCTGAACTCCATCGTTATAAAATAAACTCTATTAGCAGCTATTAATATACTAACCAAGGAAAAAAAATACTAATTATTTTGTTCTTAATGGTAAGAAGGAAATATTTTAAAATTTTAAATTTACTCTTGGGTGTATGCGCATGCTGAAAATGAATAAAATAAGCTGAATTATGGTTTTAAAAAAAGAACTGTAAAGGTTGAGAATAGTTATCAAAGAAATGTAACTCTTTTTTCTTGAATTTAATTATTTTATTTTGAATCAACTCGTTGAGCTGATCAATTCAAAATAAAATAAGTAACCGGATTATTGATTAGCTTATTGATTTTTTTATGATTTATATTTTATAATGATTTTTTATAATTTGTATTTTATTTTTTTTATATTTTATAATTATTTTCTCATAATTTATTCCGCAATTTTTTTTTCAATAAAGTTTATATAAGCCCTTAAAATATTAAATAAATTATGAATTATTTGCTTGGATACATTTTATAATCGTCGTTGAACTGCAGATCAAATGTTTTCGATTTACGACTGCTAACATTCGATTCCATCGCCTTGTAATTTGGAACCCGATCCAGAAGACAAAGGAACTTCTAGATCAAGTATTGGGAGAAATGTGCTTTCGTGGAGGACTTTTTATGGAACTAACCTGCATTTGCGTTACATGGAGAGGAAAACCACAAAA